ATATTTTTCCTTGTAAGTCAACTGACTCACGCCATTTTCTGCAGAATCTCAAATTTTAAATTTTTTTCAAAAAGGCAAAACTAGTTATTAGATGAATTTCAAATCTGAATCAACAAGTATAAGTGTAATGATAAATCTGCTATATGTTTGCTCATTAATTAATTCAGAATGGGCTGTTTATTAAAAAAAGAATCCTTTACTTACTGGCATATTGACTTCAAGGTTGAAAACGAATTACCTTCCGAGTCATATTCCAGCTGATTCAAAGGAATTCCGATCATTAAGTCTTCAGGATAATCATTTTCATCAAATTCATCCAGTTTTTCATTTCTTCCCTCCTCCTTCTCCTCGTTCACCGTTTCACATTCACTTTTTTCTTCCAAGTTTTTAGCTTCACTTTAAAAGAGTAATTAGAAGTGATTTATTGCTTACCCACTTAAATGCTGGCAATTTTTTGATTAAGCTTTTCAAAGCTAGCAACTAATTCTCTTTTCTTTCATCACTCTGTCTGCCTATTTTCCAAATAATATTCAAATCAGCAAATATCAAAACTTGCGTCATTTCACGTCTCTTTCGTTTTGCCGACATCCTCGGCTGATGCATTAAAGTAAAATACTCCTCAATATGGCGCTTCATTTTTGCTCGATCTTTCCAGACCTAATTTTTATTTCATACAGTTCGTACTGATTGATAAACACTGATCTATCTCATTGCACATTGTAATATCCTCTCATAACTTAATTCATAATGAAGTATGCAGCAATTTGACTTTACAAAATTTTCACTTTATTTTACGTCAATTATTAATCACGCTTAATAGCTCTTGTGTATTGCATTATGCTAATTTGTAGAATGTCTACACTGAGAGTTTACATTGCTATCATTGAAAGTAATGGATTTATCCTAGATTAGCACCTTTTTTTCTTCACTTGTAAGACGCTCCCAAAGTGGTGTCACAATATGAGACAAATAAGATGAAATTAAATCATTTTGATGATACTGTCTATGTCCAGTTATTTTGATTCGTAACTCTTGCGCAAACAACAAAAACCCATTTGTAGAAACAACTGGCATTACTTTTAGTACTTGCTTTCTATTCACGCTAATTACCTAAATAAATCAACGCTAATACACCACAATCAACTTTTTACTATTTCAAAAATGTTAAATTCTTGCAAAATATTCACAGATTTAATTGAATTTATCCAGTTTGCTTGGATGTTATTTTTGTTAGTAGCAATGATTAATATGAATTACAACATTACCACACATTCGATCATTCTGCTTACTTCTTACTTATTAATCCTCAATTGGATAAGTAATAACACATTATTATTCCAATTTTTGATCGTTTTCAATATTTGCTAAAACAGTTTAACACACCGTTGAATAATTGAACCAGCCCTTTGCAAAACGTCAACCACAATACAAATTGTACTTAATGAAAATGACAATTTCCAATTTCGTTCCATTTTTATACTCTTTTCTAATAATTATTTATGCAGATTTCCTTTTTTTTTTATTAATTAGTGGTATTTTTAATGTCTGTTTTACATTTTTTACGTCTTACAGGTTTGTTAATTCAGTTTGTAGATCCTAGCGCTCAGATTAACTCGGAGGATAAAATATTTCTTTATTTGGTTCCATCAGTTCAAAGTAATTATGATAAACTAAACAAGAATATCAATGAGTGTTATCTCTTATCTTTTGTCTACCACAGTATTTGAAGTCCATTTCCAACTGTAAACAAACAGTTCATTCAGAAAACAAAATATTAATGGTTCTGAAGCATCAGCATGTAGTTGTAGTTCGTTCAAACTAATCACAACTCTAAGCAAGCCTTTTACTTCGTGACACTTTTAATTAATTCAAAGTACTGTTTCATATTTTACAATTTTTGAAACTTTTTTTGAGTTATTTAATAAGGTTGTGATGATTGAGTAAGTTGCGCAGCGCTGTTTAATTCAATAAAGAAATATACAAAATAGACTGAATTCGTGAACAAATTGTTTTATTTCAGTGATGTAATGATGATGATTTGAAAAAACAAGCCAGAAGAAGTTTACGCATATATTTCATTGACTGCCACTGCGCAGAAATATATTTTCTTGGTTTTTGTGACGTGGATTCACGTAATTGCTGAAGTTTTTGCACTCGACGGCATTCCAGTAGATGTTCGTCAATTAACTGAACAAAGATGAAAAAATAAAATTGAATAATGAAATTTACATATATTATATTATTATGATAAGTGCTAGAGCATTTCAGAATAAGCAAAGTTAATACCAAAAGATTGTAATTTTTGTGAATTTAATACTGACAAAACTTAATGAATACAAATTACTTTTTATGATACAAACGATTAATTCTATTTACAAAGTTAATATTAGTTATACATATTTCCGGATTGAAATTTCCCATTTATAATTTCTAATTTTCGATATAGTTGCTGACATATTAAAATTTGAGAATAAATACGATGGAAGATGCAAAAAATCATGGAATAGAATAGAAAAAACATGCATTGAGTTTAATATTCATTGTGATCTGATCAGTATTGTCATCACTGTTTAAATTTTCCGTGACATTTATGCTATCAGCAGCAGCAGCAGCAGCAACAGCAGCTCGAGCTCGAGCAGCTTCAATCATACATATAGTGATGGTTGCCTCATCACTTACGTCTGAGTATAATGAGCAGAGGAAAGACAGATCATCTACCAAGTCTACCCGTTCACTTTCAATACTCTGCCAATGCTACAGAATATTTTTCTGATATATAAAAAACATCGCAAACTAGCTAGACAATAAATTTGCACTGTAAAATTCTGTGCAACAACAAAAGTACGACTTGCTAACAGTAAAAAACATAAAAAGATAATACTCACTAACTGTGTTTAAATAATATAAAAAGCTAAAATAATGAACACAATAAAAATAATAAATTTTGTCTAAAACAATTTTCTGCTTTCTCTTTTGTTCACAAAATAAAACTTACATACCTTAGCAGCAGATCTCATTAAATCACTGTACACTAACTGTACTAATTTCCAAATATTCCATCGCGTTATTTCTGCTAAGTTTCGATCATTTTCAGTAGACGAAAATCGAGTAACCAAATAATTTAAGTGATAAAATATGTGCAAGTATGCATCTATGAAAAGTAGCATTGACTGCTTGCTACAAGTCCTAAAGTATTATCCAATTAATGCAAAATAAATTTTTGCTCACAAATTGTTTTGTTTATTTTTTGTTGAAAGAAAATGCATTCCTAACTATTTTGCATTTCAAGCTTAAATTGACAGCAATTAAGAATTATTATCTTAGACAGTATATGCTAAACATTTAGCCTTTTATTATAAATTGACTTAAATTAGTTTCATCCTTAATAGTGTACTATCAAAATTATTTATTTAAGCATTTACTCATCGATAAATTCACGTAGTTGTTTTGCGCAACTCAACATTGCTACTCGTTGATCTACTTTGGTAGAGTTTTTTTGCATCATTTTTAACGTGTTTTCAACCATCTCAATTTTTTGTTTGTTTCGTGAACGAAATTCGCGACTGCATGCTACTGTTAGTACCGTAGAAATTGCTTCTGTAGCCGAACGAACATCAGAAGGATTGTTCAAAAAAGAAGTTCGTGTTTGATGTGCTGAGGAATGGTTGATGGATGTTGAAGATAAGACTGAAAGTAAATTTATCGAAACTATCAATTCATCACTGTCAAATATCTTCAACTGTTCTAGTTGTCATTACTTAATTTAAAAAAAAAAAAGAAAAAAGATATTTTAAAAGTGTATAACGTTTTAATGATGCGTAATTCAAGTCAAAAATAATATATACTTAAAAGAGAAACGGCCTTGCTTCATTTAGTTCTCAACGGTTCATCATTATTATCGAAACGTGATAGTGAGAACTTGCACGTAAACTACTTCACACGTATTAAAAGTTATTAGTGCCTGACTTTTGTTACGCAATTTGGTTATTTGTGCTATCAAACATGTTCATGCTAAATTCGTAATCTCTGAATCTCAACTTTTCTATCATACTTTAAAAAATTTTAAATAAACTTGCCTGAAGTATTAGGAATGAAGCTTCTATTGCAACGTTTAATCATTGATTCGTTGCATTTCTAAAATTCAGCTCAATTTTTTCTTCTGACTCTAAATATTCTTACTATCTTATTAATAAAATAAAAGCATGTTTACTTACGTACGTCAAAATTGTATAATAAAATCCGAGTATTCCTATGAGTGAAAATTTGTATGTCCCTCAAATTAATTTTTGAACTATAAAAATACTACTGCATATAAAGTTTTTTGCGTGAAAGATTTTCAATTTAGATATGAAAGAAATCATTGAAGAAAAGTTAGTATTTGACATTATCTGATGAAAACCTCAATGAAATGTAGCAGTTTATGTAGTTTAGCAAAGTTGTGGTACTGATGCTGCCGCATGCGTTCTAGCGCTCCAGGCGGTAATGGAATTTGGCCACAATTTTCTAAAACCGATAAAGCAAATCTCATATCAGCTGCGCATTCTTTTTCCAAATTCTGTAAATATTAATTAATGCTAAGAAATATTCATCAAATGATTTGCTATAATGTTAATATTCTAAGCGATAATTTAGTCTCAAAAACATAAAAAATTGGCAAAGTAAATACAATTTTTTTATTTTAAAATCAAATTGCAAAAATTCACTTAAAGTAAGTTTATTTAATAAATCATTTAATTACCTTCTTCGTACTACATAGCGCGTTGTATTCATTTGTAGGCAGGATTGTATGCTCTTTAAGAATTCGCAAACTACTCTCTATCCAAATGCCTATTTCCTAAAACCAAATGTTCACTTACAAGTTTAAAGTTATTAGAGTTAGGAATAAATTCTAGCTTCTGAAGTTCTAACTTTAATGCTTTGTTGTAAATTGTGCAAGTTTTTGATAAGTTTGACTTGTTCATTCTCAATTTCACTCAAAGTAACCAAGTCATGTCCGTTGTGTCGATTCACGCAACATTCCAAACATATTATTTGCTAAAATCAAAAATTTATTACTAATCGTATAGTGATATTAACTCTAATTAAATGACACTTTTATTACTTTATAGATATTAAAAAGAGTACAGTGAATTTTTGATCAAACTTTTGAAGAGCATTTCACTTTTGTAAATGTGGCAACGATTAAGCTCTAGTTTCTTAATATGCGTGAATGATGGACTTGTAGACTCATAATATGCAAATATAATTTAATGAACACTTATAATGATTTATAATTTTGTTACTATCAAACAGGCAAAGTTATAATTTACCAGTGTATCATCATTATTTTTGGAACTGAAGCATTTTTCACAAAATCTTGCTTCCTTCTTATACTTCTTAATATCTAAAGTTTGCAAGCAGTCAAAGCAAAGTAGTAACTTTGACTTTCCACAAACTTTTGCTTCTTGAGAGTAGCAGAATGTTGAGCGAGATTCTGAGCATCTGTTTGTAATGACAGGATTGCTATCAGCAACATGAATAACAGTAATGTTAGTATCACTGATATTTTCTTTCTTTTTTAACTGATTTTCTTTGAGCCTTTCTAAAACTATCAAAATTTAAAATCTTCGAAAATATTAAGTACTGAATGACAAAATTTGCGATTAATTAACTTCTTTTTGGATTAAAATTCAATTCAGAAGAAAATCTGTTTGATATAGCAAATTTTTTAGAATAATTCAGAAATGGCCTTATTTTTGATATTAGTAGCGATAGCATATGACAACATCTGTATTGATAATGAATTACATACGAATTGAATTAATTTTCAATTTAAAATGTTTCCTATGTGTTGTGGCAGTAATTATTTGGAAGCTTTATTTATGAGTTGAATTAATAATAAATATTTGATCCTAACTGATCTGTTGTGGATGAAAACTTACGGCAAAGAATGTGATTGTTTGGAGCTGAAATGGCTATTGAAGTGCTGAATTTGGTACGACATGTAGGACAATCAATGGAATCCAACAAATAATACTAAAATTTATTTACTCTTGCTGGATAATACAAAGTTGATAATTCTGAATAATACTGATTACGTCACCATTTAGCATGAAAGCAAATTACTGAAAATTAGTTAGAATGAAATTAATTACCTGTTGGTGATAACAAAGAGATAAAATGCAATGCTTGCAGAAATTGTGTCCACAAGGTAACACTTTAGGTGTTCGCTTTTTGAAATGGAAAGGTTGAAGACAAATTTGACAGTGAAAAGCAGAAAGAAAGTTAGAATTCTGCTGCTGTGAATTTGTATCCATCGAACTACCGCTGCCGCTTTCACTACTCGCTAATGTAGTAGGGAGAGCAATCGAACTAATGGCTTCCTGCATATATTCTAAAATTTGTACAATAAAAACACTGTAATTTACTTTATACAAAGGAACGGTAATACCATTTATGGCAGTCTTTATTATTATTATTTATTATTATTATTATTATTATTTTCTTGTTTTTATTTTCCTTTATTCGATAATTTAAATTTATAATTTTGATTATCGCAATGTATAA